GTCGCCAATATCGGCTTGCAGGGACGTGTAGCTTTCCTTAACATAGAGAGCTACCCCCCCGCCCCTTTTCTCTACACAATCCCTCCTGTACAGGGTATACCCATCTATCCCCGTGGTCCAGTCATGGGTGGAGTCCCACCAGGTCTCCGTTATCCCTATGACATCGTAATTCTTTGCACTGGGATGAGCTCCTCCTGCTTATTCCCCAAGCTCCTGGCATTAGTGTACAGGCAGGCAAGTGCCCCCTGGGGGGCTCCTTCCTTGCACACAGATTTTACCAGGGCTGGGGCAGGGGTGGGCTCCCTGAAGCGCCGTGATCCGCTGGCTTTGCAAGGATTGCTCAGCGGGCCAGCAGTGGCGGTAGTCCCCCCGTCCCCCAACGGGCTTTAGTTTAATTTGGAGAGCCTTGAATTTATTCAGACCTTTTTATTGGTCCCTGATTTGATTCAGAATTAGAGATTCGGCCACTGAATTGGACCGTATTCCTTCCGAGTTGAAAAAGCACTCAAAGCTTCTCACAGCCCTACTGTATATGCACATAAGATACTTATTTTGCTGTGTAGTTACATGAGGCTATTTCTAAAAACATGTCCCTGCACATGCGTCTCATGTACCTATCCTTGTAACAGCAAAAGTAGCATGTAGTTATAAATGAAACAAGTTACTGTTTCATATTGTCAGCATGTCCGTCCTGGGAACCTGCTTTTCCTGCAATTGCCACCTGCCACGACTTGATCTTAACACAAATTCTGGGGAGGAAGAGTTGTTACACGCTGGTACCCGCAGGAAGGAACACACTGGCCAGATCTCTGGTTAATGGTGCTTTATTATCTACAGCCTGGTCTTACTTTCGTTGAGAACGCCAGGCAAAAAAGGGGAAATTGCGTGGATATGCCAAGGAACACCTTGGGAAACGATCACAGTCTGAAAACTAAATGTTATCTTACTCTCAGCTGCTAATCACCCACTTAGCAGTTAATTAACGTTGGAACCGGGAATTCCCTCTGGCCACGGCTTGAGTCCGTAAATGGAACGCAACTCTCTCCGGGACTCCTCGCTCGCTCCTCTTCTCTCTCTCTCTCTCTGTAAGTCCCAACCTCCTCGGAGCCGCAGCTTGTCGCCGCTTCCCTGCTCCGTGCCTGTGACTCACCCCTGGAGCCTGCTTCTCAGGTGGGTGGCGGCTTCACGGGCGCTGCGATCCCATCCTCCAGTTGCAGGAGGGGAGTTTCACTCCCTGGCGTTGCCTCTCAGCCTCACCAGATAGGACTCCTCGTCCCCACTTCTTCGCTCAGTGTGTGCCTGAAGGCGAACCTGGGAGATCTTCTCCACCTCTTATTTCTCCTTCTGGGTCCTCATTGGCTTCCCGAGGCATTGTGTTTCCCGTTTCCCGGCTGTGTTAATCCTCATCAGCTGTTACCCCTTATTAGTAACAGGGTCGCAGCCGTGGCTCTGTTACACATATGAACCATGTTTATGCATAACTGGAGCTATCATGAAAATAATTTCCTACAAAGGCCACACCTTTATCTGAGCCAGGTCTTTTTCCATCTGTGATCCTGTTTCCTCTAGACTTTCTTTACAAAGGAAAGTAGAGGGATTTTTTATTTATGCATAACCTCACGTGTGGGTGTAAACCAATAACGTGTGCTAATATAACCCCTAATGTCACTGCTGCTGTTGGTATAAGAATGCTTTGGTATGTTTGCCATATGTCTTTTGGGAAGGATGTTTACACTTAACCAAAAAAACTACTTTTCTACCAGTGTCCAAAGTGGGGAAAGGGAAGGTTGCATGTATACTGATGTATCTATATGACTGCTAAAATTCTCCTATGAAGACAAGCCACAGATCTTGATTCATCTGGAAGATTGTACTATCTCTTTCTACTGAAGTGGGATGGAGATACTATCAGTATATTGAGTATGTGGAATATTACAGTCTTTTTCCTCATATGCATGGACTAAAAGGTGTGATACAATAGAGCACTGCATGGAATGCAAAGGAGAGAGCATCTGACTATCCATCTTTGTTTGGAATTTGTCAAAAAGAATAAGTGAAGCCAACAAAAAGCCCACTGCCACAGCTAGTTGTCCTTCTGACAAATTGAGCTTCTCTGTTGCTGACATTTATTTAATAGGCCGGCATTTGCCCCTTGGAGGTCTGTGTAGGTGTCTGAAGATGTGGAGCTTCCAAATCCTTGACCAGTCTACTGAAAGAAGATTGAAAGAGGAGCAGAAAGAGCAAGAAACTATGCACAAGCAATTAAATAATGACCTCATACTCAGTCCCTCATACAAGATAGCTGGCCCTGAAAACCAGAGGTCCATTTTGAGTTTAACTTTGGATTGGGGTGGAATGGATGGGGTGATTTATATCCCCAGCTGAGAGCTTGTATAGCTTGTCAGGCCAACAAAATTAATACAGATGAATTGAAACCTCTTTGAAAGTGGGGGTATATTTATATTAGAGGTGCTAACAGCCCTCTTTTTACTGTCAGCACTGATGATCTGCCACTGAGATAAATGAATTGCTGTGTGAGGGAGAAAATGCTAATTGATATGGATAGATCTGAGTCAAATTGGAGTGATCCATGGCATATTGCTGCAAGCCTCTAAATCACTATCCAAAAGGGCAGCAAGATTACTATCCCACATCCATTTGAAAAAGTCAACGCTTTCAAATGCTGCCTTGTCGGCAATTCTTATGCATCACCCATTTCCCAGTAATGTCTGTTTGCACTCTGATAAACTAGTCTGTTTCCCAGGGTGACAATATAACAGTTGCAGTGTATCTTCTTACTCGCTGTCCTAGTTAGCAAGTAGGAGAGGAAGGTATTCTGCTTTTTATAGGGCAAATGATGGAATCAAGCTTTTCTGGGGGGATACACAAAAGTCGCTCCCCATCCAAGGCAGCAAAGTAGGTACATACAGAATCATCTTGTGGTGACTACTGCAGGCTCAGTGTTACAGTAGCTCAATTGGTTCTCTTGTTGCTTGGTGCCCCCTTTGGTAGAGGAAATTGCTGCTGGCCAGGGCCCTGCATGGGTTGGGTGCTGAGCTAAGAAACATCACTGAGCTTTTTCACTGGGATGTATGTAGTTTCCAGAGTGTCTGGCACTATCACAGAGCTCTGTGCCCTTCATTTTCAGGTGTATGAAAGAGGGACCAATGTGGACCAGTTTGTGACCCGGTTCCTGATGCTGCTGAAGGAGACTGCCAACCAGATCCAGTCCCTGCTGAGCTCTGTGGAGAGTGCTGTTGACGCCATTGATGAACAAACCAATCAGATCAGGTTGGTAACATATTCGGACCGCTTGCATTCTGCAGCCTATTGCTGTTTTCATAAATTAATGTTTGCCTGATCTTTAACAAGATTTTTTGGCAGCCCTGGTGCTGGTGGGTGAATGCTCGTCAAGTCTGTCTGCATCTTGACCTTGTGATTTTTGTCTTTCTCAAACCCCTTTTACTTCATATTGAATGGGCAGGTGATTCAAGCCAGAGACAGAAAACAATGTTACAGCTTTTGTAAGTTGTCCAGTTGTTTTCTGTATCCTTTAAAGCCCAGAAATTCTGAGGGATGCTCCTACATGGAGAACCACTAGCAAATCTGTCTACCACTAAACTCTCTGGACAATCCTTCCCAGAATTTGAAGACAGTCCAGCATGTACTGTTTCCCTTAGATGGCCATCACTGGGAAGGCTGGGTGTAGGTACTTACACTGCTTTAAAAATAGAGGATGTTATGCCCCAGAATGTGAAGCAGTTCTGCAGTTCAAGATAAAAATATTGTAATTGGCACTCCCCATCCCCTGTATTGGAGCAGAATGAAAGAAGAGGGCGCAATGAACCCTTTGTACCTCCACAATGAAAAGCCACAACCATGAGGGTTGCTTGCAGTTGAGCTGGGCAAGGTGGTTTGTTTTGGGGTTGCTGGAATGTGTGCACTGCTTGGTTGTTGGTGAGGAGTGAGCTGGTTGCATTATTTCTTTGTCAAGGAAACAACGGCATCAAAACAATTAATAATATGTATATAACTGACTGGTGTTTGTGGATATGTGTAATGGGAATATAAGTTGCATATAAGATTTTGTGTGTCTTGTGTGTTTTATAGCTAAATTATGATTTAGAACAAGACCTCGGAAGCAAAAATCTGAATCTCTTCCTACCTTCTTCTCTATGTTGCAAATACTGAATCTTCTCCATCTTGGAGAAGCCTTTTTATGTAAGGTATACTTTACAATGGTGATAAAACTCAATGGTTTGTGTTTTCCTAAAGTGCATACTTTTTACTTTAGTGGCTCCTCACCAGTCTTCAGAAAGTGTTACTGAGAAAATGGTGCTATAAAGTAAAGAATGTCTTTAGCATCTGTTTAAGTGCTTCATGCTTCTTCTACTTATTGATCATCTGCTCAGAGCACCTCAGTGATAGTATTACCTAATTTTTTAACACCAGGCTTGACATTGTCTTTAAATCTCTTAATTCTCCACATTAATGTAACTTGGATCTCCTCATGTTGGCAAGTTCAGCTATCTCATCCCTGTGTACAGCACAAACTAATTGTATTATCCGTGTATCTATGAATGACTTGGGCCTGGTTCCTGCAAACACTTTCTGCTTGGTGCAGTTACTCACAGGGGTGAAGTTACAAGTGTTTACAAGATCAGCACCTTAATTGGCAAAGCAGTTTGGAGAGGGAGAACACTCTCTACAAGGTAGGTACTGCCTCATTTCCCTTTCTCTTTTCCAGCTCTTGTGTTGAGGGCTCTTTTAGTCTTCTGGGTTATTGCAGGCACTCTTCACTGCTCTCAAAGCCTCTTCTCAGAGTTCCTTTGTGCTGGAGTGCTTTGTGCTATTTGATCACTTTCAGTTTTTCTTTGCCAATAATTTTGTTTCTTTGGGTAAAGAAGGGCCAACAGCATCCATCAGATCTTCACAAGTCTGGTCACTTAAACTTTTTTCATAAGATGCTCATAATTATGTCTTTCTTTGTGGCTATTTTTGGCCTCCATTCTTTGAGAGCTCAAAGGTTTTGTTCTGGTTCCTTGCCCCCTTTTCACTTTCCTTCCACTGGTTGGTAATTCCGAGTTGGAAGAATATGATTCCTTGCCCCTCAGTTCTATCCTAGTGAGTAGCAAAAAGTGAGAAACCCAAGATGTGTTTAAAACTGAGTGTTGTTTGTGTGAGACCATACTGTCACTTACTGAAACTGGAATAGACTGATGGCTGGTTGCCACACATGGGTAGTATTGAATGGGAAATAGTGTGAATTGCCTCCATTCTGTTACCTAACTGTTAATTATGAGTGGGCCAGCCTGCCTCTGAAGTATCTGGTCCAGGCCCTTGCCAGATAAAAGATTCAAGAGCTAAAATGATCACTAGGTCCAAACCAGTCTAGCAGATCCTGTGTCTTGTGTTTCTTTGCCAGGCAAATGAGAGAACCCATGAAACTTAATGCTTATATATAATTTTTTGTGTTTTCAGAGTGTTATGTGAACATTTCCATTTCCATTAATAAATGCTTCAGGCGAGAGAGTTCAAAGGTGGAAGGAACTTGACTGACACAGCAAATCAAGGGCAGCTTCAAGTCTAAGACTCAGAATTTCTGACTCCCAGTCCCTTGCTAGAATATGCTGCACCTCTTGAAGCATTTCCAGCATGACAGATGCGAGCAAATGAAAGCTGCAAATGATCTGTCCACTCATTTCAGCAACTAAGATGCTTCTGCATCCCCTAGATGCATCAGAGAAGGCCCTTTGAAAGATCTGAGCAAACTGACAGATGGGTTGAAATGGCAGCTCTTTTTTGGACCTCGCTGGGGAAAAGGATTTGGATGCAGATGTGAAAAACAGAGCGTCTTGGATCACTAAAAAAGGATGGGAAAAGGAAAAACCCTCCAGGAACCAGTCTCCTATCTGCTATAGTGCAAAATACCCTGTTTACAAGCTTTTGCAATGGGCTTATCTGAAAAGGCTCATCTGAAAAGGCTCATCTTGGCACTATTAGCTCATACTGTAACCAGGCTTTTGCCCAAGACTCCCATCCACATAAGAGTCTCTAGCTGGAGTTAAATTCTGGTCAAATAGTGGAGCTCAAACAGCCTTGAACTCAAGCTAGCAGGCCCATCAGGGGTGCATATGAAAGCTGGAGTGCTTCTGAAAGCCAATCTAAGGATGCAGCAGCTTGAGTTACAGCAGCTCATCACTGACTGTTGATGAGCAGCTCATCAAGTCACTCTGTGTAGTCTGTGTGGTGTGGTCCTTCTCACTTATGGTTAAGCTAGCTCTGGTGGAGTAACATGAGTCTACTAACTTGAGCTAATGGACAGCCTCAAAGATAGAGCTCCTGGGCCAGTAGCTGACCAGGGGTAAATTGGCAATAGAGACCCCATTGAAAATTGCTTTGAATTAGAACTTGTAACAAATGCACAGGAAGAGCTAGATCTTTCCCTGTATAAAGGCACAATACAAAGGGCATAACAGGAAACAGGATTTTACTGTTCCCTGCTGACATGGGGTTTGGCTTTTATGGGTTTTTGCCACAAAAACACTTATACTTTTACTTAATCTGAGAAATGAGGAAAGTGAGGCACTGAGGCACAATGGCTTTCCTGAAGTCAGACACTTTCTCATGACTTGGCCACTGACAAGAACTCCTAGGCTTGGGACAGATTGACTTTTATTAGTAGATGTTTAGGATTGTAAATCCAAAAAAAAAGATGACAAAGCCAGTAGGGAAATACAGATGGAGGGGGTTCGCAACACTGAGAGAAAAAGAAGATAGGTACATACAAACCAATTACAATGGTCTGCAACGGTGGAAGAAGTGGTTCAAAGAAAAAGTGTCTCAGTACATGTAGAGTCTCATTGTGGGGGTCCTCTTTGGGTGGAGCAGGGTTGTCCATTGTTGAAGAATCCTCTCGAAGTGAAGGTCCATCTGGTACGGTGGGGGGGGGCAGGGTTCAGGCGGTGCCCTCTGGGTCTGGTCCGGCAGCGGTTTGTCTGGTGGGATCGAAGTACCAGCGGTGGCCTGTGATGTGTTCCACATAGATGTTGCAGGACCAATGGATGGTGTCGGACACCATGAGGCAGCGCATTAGCTTGGTGTAGCAGTGGGAGACATGGCAGGCACGTAGGATGCTCTTGTTGCTGGGGTCCCAGGCTCCAAGTGTTCCCACGATGAGTGCATTGACCATCACGTCACAGCCATGGCCCCCTCAGGATGTTGGCCACACATAAACTGGTTTAAGTGATCAGAAATTGGTTTAAACCTGTAACAGAACATAAGTTCAGTGCACATAAACCAGTTTGAAAATGGCTGAAACTAGTTTAAGATAAACCTGGTTGAATGTAGTATGAGACTTAACTGATTTGGGTCAAACCAATATCTGTCCCAGATGCCTTCCCCGTTTAAGTTAAACTAGAGTCTCCCAGCATCCCAGATGCTTTGCAGCCCTGGGCTGGGCTGGGCTGGCTTAGGCTGTGCTGTCTGCTCCAGAGAACAGGCTGGCCCCACCCCTCGGCTCTCTATCCAGAGCTCTGGTGGAGATGGGTACAGCAGGGTCTGCCTGGCTTCCCGCTCTCCCCCTTCCCTGCCCTCACTGCTCAAGCAGGGATCCCTCCCTCCCATCTCCCACAGCACAGACCCCAGCCCCACAGACCTTAGTCCTCCCTCCCTCCCCTCTCTCACAGCACAGACCCTAGCTGGCATATGGTCATGGTCACACTACCCCCATGCTAGCTAATGCTAAGAAGTGTCTCTGTTTATGTGTCTCCAATTTCACTGGGAAAAAGGCAGATAGGATAGTGTCTGCTTAGGGCTTTTTGGAGCTAATCAACAAGTCAGCTGGTAATGTCCCTCATTCCTTCCTTGGAAAAATCTGTTTAAGAAGAGCTTGAACTAATGAGAGAGGCTTTTGTTTTTTTGATGGGCTGATGAGGAAGCCAGCAGGGGGCTGATAACACTGTCTCTCTCTCTCCTCAGGGGGCTCTCTCTCCTGTCAGGTTTGCTGCAGACAGCATGAAGAAGCAAGGAGAGGATGATTGAAAAGCTCAGTATCATCAACAGATGCATGAGCTGCACAGCCCTCCCCCCCCCCCCCCTTTGCCTCAGAGTGCTATCTAGGAGCTGGCAACACTCCTTCCCTTTGAGCAGCAAGTGGAAAAGCCTGGGACTATGCAGACAGGGAGCGGGGGTAAACACCCCCCCCCCCACACACTGGCCAGCCCCCCCCCCTCAGGTCAGCATTGTGGAAGGGAAGGGAGGGCTGCTCTAGCACCCCGTGGTTTCTTGCC